AGAGGAGGAGGAAGGGAGGAGGAGGAGGGGAGGGGAGGAGGAGAAAAGGAGGAGGAGGAAGAGAAGAAGAAAAGGAGGAGAAGGAAGAGGAGGAGAAAAGGAGGAGGAGGAGGAGGAGAAGAAAAGGAGGAGGAGGAGGGGAAGGAAGAGAAGGAGGGGAAGGAGAAAGAGAAGGAGGAGGGGGAAGGAGGAGAGGAGGAGGAGGAAAGGAGAAGGGAGGGGGAGGGGGAGGAGGAGAAAAGGAAGAGGAGGAGGAAGAAGAATGAATATTAGCTGAGCTGGTAGAGAACATTCTTTCGGAAGATGAGTTTTGTGACTGGCCATGCCCACCTCGCCAGCCGTTTTGGGAGGACACCCGTAACCCGCTCTCAACGCTCCAAGGCTACCCCAAGACTTCAAATCACTGGCCAGCTCTGCCGCGGATCAAACCGAAACCCACCTTATGGATCCAGTGCAGGTTCATCTGTTGTCCTACAGCTATGTGACAAAGTGCTAAAATCTGAAAGCGGGGAAAGACAGAGTTATTTATGAGTAATTCAGGGAGGCACTTTAGCAACCACGAAGAACGCAAAGGAGTTAAAGTGAAGTCTCCTTCGAGTCCAGCTCAACTCCTGGTGGATCCATGGACACATCCCTGTTGTGTTCTCGGCAACAACCTGAACACGGTTTGCCTCTGGCTTCTTCTGAGATACTTTTTCATCTTCCTAGTCCGTCCTTCGGGGTTGGAATCTCCATGTGGTCTCCCCTCCAACTTAGACTTTGTAGAACAATCCAGATCAGCTCTGTGCTGATGTCTGATCTTCCCTTAATGGGGCCAATCCCTGTTTTTCAGATGCGATGCAACTAACTCGGTGGGCTAGGAATTTTGGAAAGGGCGGTTAGAATACAGCCATAGGTGGAAAAAGAGCTACTGCTGTGATTTGGGATGGAGGGAAGAGAAAGCTCGCATTGGCTACTGGACATTAAATTCAGGTGGGGTAGATACAGGTGGTAGACTAAGTCAGCGTCTCTCAGCCTCAGCAACTTGAAGATGGGTGGTCCTCTACCCCCTGACATTCCCCCCCCCCAGCCGCTGGGGCGGCGGGTCGGCTGGGCGCGGGATCGTCCCCCTCACTGAATCTAGCTGACGCAGACACG